ATGAAAAAGGTACCAGGGGTATCTCTACTGACCCCGGGCCCTCAGGCAGTGCCCAAGTTTTTCCAAATGGTCAGTCCGTCCGCCCTGGGTATAGCAAAAGGGGTATCTCCTGCGCCTCTAGATGTATTCTATTAAAATACAGCAGCCAGCACTACGGGTGCCACAATCAGAGCACCCACAATAGACAGGGGATAAAAATAGAAAAACAGTGCGGCGCTTCTATATCATTACAGCCCTATATGTATTAGAGATACCTTATCACATATAATTAATAAGTGATAAATAAGTGATACCACACAGTAAAGTGACTAAATAACATTTATAGTGTCCATGTGGGGAGAATGAAGTCATGCAGGTGTGCACTACAAGTGCCAATCTTTGGAGTGAAACCCCCCTCCTCACATAGATGGAGTGCCAAACTGCAGACACTACAAGTGCCAATCCTCAGACAGGTGGAGTGCCCCCTACCTTCCTGCCCAGGCCCCACAGGACCAACGAGCCTTTGGTATATAATCGCTCTATACCCCTGAGCGTGGATGGATCCCTCTGCTATACCCAGGGGCGCCATCTTGGTGCACCTGGTCCCGAATACAGTACACCCTCTGATGAGTGGTGACAAGGCCTGTTTTTGTTTTAGAAAGCATGTGAGTACGTTTTCTGACTTTTTAAAAATAAAGCGGTATTTACCTATGCAAGCTCTCTTTCCTCATTTGTCATCAACCACCAACGATCTGCATAGGAGTTAAGAGGAGGGAAGCCCTATACTGGCATCCGGGGAACCCATCAGCAGAGGGATCCATCCACGCTCAGGGGTATAGAGCGATTATATACCCAAGGCTCGTTGGTCCTTGGGGCCTGGGCAGGAAGGTGAGGGGGCACTCCACCTGTCTGAGGATTGGCACTTGTAGTGTCTGCAGTTTGGCACTCCATCTATGTGAGGAGGGGGGCACTCCACCTGTCTGAAGATTGGCACTTGTAGTGCACACCTGCATGACTTCATTCTCCCCACATGGACACTATATATGTTATTTAGTCACTTTACTGTGTGGTATCACTTATTTATCACTTATTAGTTATTTGTGATAAGGTATCTCTAATACATCTAGGGCAAATGATATAGAAGCGCCGCACTGTTTTTCTATTTTCCGCCCCTGGGTATGTCACAAAAGAAGAAGAACATTATATAATCATGCAGGTGTTGTCTGGTATCTTAGAATACACAAACATCAAACTGTAACAAACATGCGAAGACACCATCCTGGATGACACCGCTGTAACTTTTTCTAATATATAAAAAAGAAAGCAAAGATAAAAAGAAAAAAAAAAAACATAAGAGGGTGCCTCTAAGTGCAGTATTGCGAAATAATTTAATGATCCGTACATAAAACACACATGCGTGTAGAGAATTAAAAACCTAGAATAGGTGAAGACCAGAACCACTCTGCTAGCCCCCTCTGCTGTTGGTGTATGGCATCGGTGTCTAGGGTCAGGTGGAGCCTAAAGTGATGTCAAGGAAACCTCTGTGGAACGCAAATGGTTTGACAAAGGAGCTGATTGGTGCTCTGAAACGCATTACCGAGGCTACGGACCCACCCCCCTGACGCCACGTCTGGTTCTTGCAATCCATGGGGGTTTCCTTGACATCACTTCTGGTACCGCAGTCTTCTACATCTCTGGGAGCCGGTGCATCCTGTGCAACGCTGATGTCCATCCCGCTTTAGGCTCCACACTGACCCTGGACACCGATGCCAGACACCAAAATCGGAGGGGCTAGTAGAGTGGCTGTGGTCTTCGCCTATTCTAGGCTTTTAATTCTCTACACATATATGAGTGTTTTATGTACGGAGCATTAAATGATTTCTCAATACTGCACTTAGAGGAGCCGCCTTGTGTTCTTTTTTGTTTCTGCAGAGATATATTCCAGTCTCTTGGTGGAGCTGCCTTTAGGTGTTTCCTATGGACTTTTAATTTAATTATGGACTGTATATGGACTTATCATGATTTATTTGTTACTGGTTATATTCCATGTTCTTTACTTTAGGTTTGCGCCATGTGCGTATTGTATATTTGCATAGAAAAAAAGAAGACAGAGAAGAAAGAGGAACAAAGAGAGAGAGACAGCGAGAAAGAAAAAGAAAAAAAAGGAGGGGAGGTAAAAGGGAAGGGGAGGAGAAGAAGTAGGTTAAGTAATGGCAAGGAAAACGTAAAGAAGATGATGGTAGGGTAGTGTGTCAAATGACCATGTCCGGTAGTACAGCTACTTGTAATCGAACTCTAGACAATGGGATGACCCACCTCAAGAAGTGACTTTCCCTTCTCTGAAAAAATAAACATGTTCAACAGGCCTATGTTTTGAAATAAACCTTGTGTTTGTCATGTTTTGTCAGTATCAAGTCTTCCGGTACATTTAGCTCCTCTACCCTTTGGAGCCAGAGTCCAACAAACGGAGGTTGTGGATCCTTCCATCTAATGGATATACAGGATTTGGCAGCGTTCAGAAGATGTTGTAGGATTGAACGTTTGTAAACTTTAGTTGGAATGTTGGTGTCGCTTTTGGCTGCTGGGGATGTCAATCATTGGGTCCTGGGTGGCGATTCCCGGCCGGGACTCGGTGATCATTGGCAGGGCTGAGGGGGAAGAGATTTGTGTGTAAACAACACAGATCTCTCTCCTGTTAGCATGGACATGCTGCTTTGTATCTCTTTACACAGCAGAGAGATACATAGCAGCATGTCTCCCAAGTAAAACAGCATACAGAACACAATGTAAAACACAAACAGCACACAGTTAACTCTTTGATTGCCCCAGATGTTAACCCGTCCCTGCCCAGTGCCATTAGCACAGTGTCAGTGCTTTTTATTAGCACTGATCACTGTATTAGTGTCACTGGGGATGTCACTGGCAGTTAGTCAGTTTCCCCCCCCAGTGTCAGAATGCCCACCGCAATACCGCTATAAGTCGTTGTTTGCCTTCATTACTAGTATTAAAAAGATAAATAAAAATTCCAGTATATATACCACCATTTGTAGATGCTATAACTTTCACGTAAACCAATTAATATACACTTATTGGGATTGTTTTAGCAAAGACATGTAGCAGAATACATTTTAGTGTAAATTTATGAAGAAATTTGATTTCTTAAATTTTTTTTTACTGAACATGTTTTATAGCAAAAGTGAAAAATATAGTTTTTTTTTCAAAATTGTCTTTTTTTGTTTATAGCAGAAAAAATAAAAACCACAGAGGTGATCAAATACCACCAAAAGAAAGCTCTATTTATGGAAACAATGATATAAATGTCATTTATGCACAGTGTTGCATGACCGCGCAATTGTCAGTTAAAGTAATACAGTGCCGTATCGCAAAAAATGGCCTGTCAGGAAGGGGGGTAAATTATCTGGAGGGCAAGTGGTTAAGGTAAATGTATGAGACAGTTTAGGTGGAATATTAGTACCCAAATACTTCAATGACACATGATTCCACTTGAATTTATAATTCAGTTGTAGAGATCTCATATGAGGTTGCGTCATGGTGACTCCCATCGCCTCCAATTTGGAAAACTTTATTTTGAGATGGGCCAGGGACCCATAATGCTGGAACTCATGCATTAAGTTGGGAGTGAGAATCCGGGATTGGTTAGAGAGAATAGCATGTTGTCCGCATAAGCAGAGACTATGTATTAAACATCTCCTATATTTAGCCCCTGAATGTCTGGTTTCCTTCTAACAGTGCAGAGGAAAGGCTCCAGAGTGAGACCAAAGAGCAGGGGTGAAAGAGGACACACCTGCCTAGTGCCATTAGTGATGGAGAAGGGATCTGAAAGAACCAATGGAAACCCTTTACTCATGCTCGTCAATGGGCTCGTTACCTTCAAAACAAACTTTAAGGGTGCTGTGGTGGACAGTACTGACATATTTGAAAAAGACTTCCTTCCCCAAAATAAAAAACCCCAACCATTCTGAATTTCAAGGGTAATAATGCAAAGAAGTAAAAAATGAATGAGTTGTTTGCTCCACCCTTTTTCTTTCATTAGTTTAATAATCAAAGAAATACCTTAGGTTTGGCACAACTTATATAGATACTTGGGATGACTCCAGTCAAAGAGGTTAATGACAGAACATATGTTCAATATGTAACAGATATAAAATGCAAATGAACAATTTTTTTCTCCGTTTTAGTAAATGTGACCATTCACATTATTTATGTAAATGTTTTTATCCATGTTATTTGCATGGGTGTCTTTTGTTTAGCTGCCTCAGCTGTCCAAATGTTTTAGTAGCAACTATGCCCCAAGTAAAATGAACGTTAGTGTTCAGTTAGTGTTTATTTTCTCCTTTATCTTTCCACGGTCCAGTTACAGCTTCTATCTAAAACACATTATTGCTTTGCCTCAGTGACTTAGCGATCCTGCAATATCATTTACAGCTTAGTTGCAAATGTTTTAATACTATGTGCACTTTTTAATTAGACCGATTTTCTTCATGCTGAAAAATGTGCTAGGCATAGACAGTATTCTTTACAGAAGGTCAATGTACACAATGTGCTGGATCATCTGCTTTTGGTAAGTAATAAAATGCCATTATATGTCATTAAACATTAGTTGCCTATAGTGATTTCTTTTAACTTTTACTGATCTTTTTATTTTATTTTGATTTTGACTTTTAGCAGGGGAGAGAAAAGGATTTGATTAAGAAAGGAGTCTTGATGCCTTCCTATTCTAAGTATATACAATTGTGAGAAACATTATGGAACCCTTGCAAATGTCCTCGATATCTAAATGAAAGGCTCCTACAATGTCATCCTATCTTTGTACATTGCCATATCTTTATAGAACAAATAGTTTAAAGTGTTACTAAACCCACAACAGTAAAATCAGTCAGTATATGCAGTAAAACATGCATGTTATACTCACTGTGGAACCTAAGGGGTTAATCCTCTGCATTGTGTAAAAAGGCTGATTGATCCTGACATCTCTGATCCTCCCCTTCTTCCAGTGCCCCCCTCTTATCTCCTGATAAGACATATCGTGTGGAGACACTCTGCACATGCTCAGTTTGGTGTGCTTACTAGAGAGGTTTTTTGTTTTCTTGGAAGAGTGCATGTGATCAACGCAGGGGCAATCAGCACTGTCCAGACAGAGGTCAGGGTTTCTGCATCCTCCTAGAGCAGAAAAAAAACTCCTACAAGCTTTAACATGTGCTCTGCTGGACACTGATAAAAGTCACATGACTGCTCCAACTGCTAATGAGAAAAGGTATTTAGAAGTTTACACTTACTAAAATAATTGCACTTCCATGTGCTGTGTACTGTGGGAGACCAAATGTAGTGAATGCAGGGTCCTGGATTTAGTAACGGTTTAGGTAAAGAAGTATGTAACCCATTATATTCAGTAATAAGTGGGGCTGCTTTTATGGGCAATGATCTTAATTTGCATAGTTGAACTATTTTGGCCAATTCCCACATACAAATGTGTTTCACTTTTTGCATAGTTTCAATATGCTTTGCTAAAATGGGTTGCTTCACAGCTTGCTATAGCATGATGATGAGACCAAGTCTGGAATTCGAAATTAGTCTTTCTAAAACATGGAATTTCTTCTGCATCAGATACTCTTTACTTGACTTACTTTTGTGTTTTTGATACCAGCCAAGCTTCATGGTACTACTTTTGATGTTTAAATCACAGACAAACTCCCTGATGTTCTGCAGTAAAGTTTCTTGTTACAGCTTAAAATGAATATAGCTCAGTGTACATTTGTCAAAATATTAAACAATTTCCTCAGTGGTCCAGTAGTTCTGTGGACCATTTAGAAGAAGTTCATCAAGTAATTTATTTTTTGGACAGCAGTGCTTTATTCTACATTGACTACAAACACCCCCTTTTGCTCAGAATATTTATAAAGCTACAAGTTTATTGTAAACTTCAAGAGTTGACAACATTTTTAGCTGTCTCTCAGGGTTCTTTCTTTATCAACTACTAGTACAGGGTGTCCCTAAAGTCTGGACACATAGGCAAAATGCATATTTTCAATACATTTCAATAAATGTTTCCACATTGTATTTATTTGGAATATTAATCAATAGCATCTTCAATGGGATTGCCACCATTTATGATGCAAAGTTCCATGCGCTTTGCAAGATTCACATGAACCCAATGCAGTAACTCCATATTTATGCCAATTTGAGCACATTCATTCATGATGTGTTCCTTCATGTGATTCATATCTGTTTTTTTCATTGAGTACACCTTCTCCTTTAGCATACCCCCAAAAAAGAAGTCAAGGGGGTGAAGGTCTGGTGATCTATAAAATTATATATCATTCACATATATTATACTATGTTGCCAACAGGATTGGGACGCCTGCCTTTACACGCACATGAACTTTAATGGCATCCCAGTCTTAGTCTGTAGGGTTCAATATTGAGTTGGCCTACCCTTTGCAGCTATAACAGCTTCAACTCTTCTGGGAAGGCTATCCACAAGATTTAGGAGCGTGTCTATGGGAATGTTTGACCATTCTTCCAGAAGCACATTTGTGAGGTCAGGCACTGGTGTCGGGTGAGAAGACCTGGCTCTCAGTCTCCGCTCTAATTCCTCCCAAAGATGTTCTGTAGGGTTGAGGACTCTGTGCAGGCCAGTCAACCAGTCAAGTTCCTCCACCCCAAACTCACTCATACATGTTTTTATGGACCTTGCTTTGTGCACTGGTGTGCAGTCATGTTGGAATAGGAAGGGGCCATCCCCAAACTGTTTCCACAGTTGGGAGCATGCAATTGGGCAAAATGTCTTGGTATGCTGACTCCTTAAGAGTTCCCTTCACTAGAACTAAGGGGCCAAGTCCAACCCCTGAAAAACAACCCCATTTCGTAACCCCCCCTCCACCAAACTTTACACTTGGCACAATGCAGTCAGGCAAGTACCATTCTCCTGGCAATTACCAAACCCAGACACATATATCAGATTGCTAGACAGAGAAGTGTGATTTATCACTCCAGAGAACATGGCTCCACTGTTCTAGAGTCCAGTGGTGGCGTTCTTTACAACACTACATCCGACGCTTTGCATTGCACTTGGTGATGTAAGGCTTGGATGCAGCTGCTCGGCCACGGAAACCCATTCCATGAAGCTCTCTAGACACTCTCTAATCTAAAGGCCACACAAAGTTTGGAGGTCTTTAGCTATTGACTCTGCAGACAGTTGGCGACTTCTGCGCATTGTGCATTTCAGCTTGCATTGACCCCGCTCTGTCATTTTACATGGCCTACCACTTTGTGGCTGAGTTGCTGTTGTTCCCAGTTGCTGATATAATACCATTAACAGTTGAAAGTGGAATATTTAGTAGCAAGGAAATTTCATGGATGGACTTATTGCACATGTGGCAACCTATGGTGGTACCATGCTTGAATTCACTGAGCTCCTGAGAGCGGCCCATTCTTTCACAAATGTTTGTAGAAGCAGTCTGCATGCCTAGGTGCTTGATTTTATAGATCTGTGGCCATGGAGGTGATTGGAACATCTAAATCCAATGATTTGGAGGGGTGTCCCAATACCTTTGGCAATATGGTGCACATACACATATAGTGATATTTCATTGTCCAGACCCTAGGGACTCCCTGTAGAATACACTCCCAGTGGAATTTCTTAAATTTTGTTAATTTGTAAACTATTTGTGTGACTCTAGTCTGATAGAGATCATAGACTTTATAAATCCGTTAGGGCCGGTTCACACAACAAAAACACACTCTGGATGTGATTCTGCATATGCATTTTTTTATGTGTTTTCAATGCGTTCAAGTACATTTTTCTCCTCATTTCTTACTTTTTTCCAAGTTTTCCTTTTTTTTTCAAGCAATGTATTCTGGTGCATTTTTGATGCATTTAGATGCATACCAGTGCATTCCGGTGCATTTTTGATCCATTTTGCTGCATTCCAGTACAGTTCTGTGCAGAAAAAAATCAGCTTATTCTACTTTTTTTTCTGCACTGGAACTCACTGGAACTGACTGTACTGGTGTACTGGTGTGAACTTTGCCGTTGGAACGCATATATTCTACTGTCCATGTGTTTTTGATGCATAAAAAAAAACACACTGGACTGCATCTGGTGTGAATCAGCCCACAAAACCAATTCTATTCTTATAAGTTTTAACAACTCTTAAGGAACCAGGAATGACTACAAACATTAAACTTATTCTCCCTGGAGAAGAGCCGCTTGAGAGGAGATATGATAGCAATATACAAATATCTCAATGGTGATTCTAGCATAGGAAATAAACTATTCAGTCTCAGTGAATATAAGAAGAAGGGCCACTCAATTTAAATGAAGGAGAAGCAATTTAATCTTAAACTGCATAGGGGGTTTTTCACTGTCAGGGCGGTAAGGATGTAGAACATACCGTATTTTTCGCTCCATAAGACGCACCTGACCATAAGACGCACCTAGATTTTAGAGGTGAAAAAACAAGAAAAAAAAAATATTCTGAACCAATGGACTGCAGACACAGTACAGGGGATGACCAGAGACTCCGGACACAGTACAGGAGATGACCAGAGACTGCGGACACAGTACAGGAGATGACCAGAGACTGCGGACACAGTATAGGAGATGACCAGAGACTGTGGACACAGTACAGGAAATGACCAGAGACTGCGGACACAGTACAGGAAATGACCAGAGACTGCGGACACAGTGCAGGGGATGACCAGAGACTGCGGACACAGTGCAGGAGATGACCAGAGACTGCGGACACAGTGCAGGAGATGACCAGAGACTGCGGACAGTGCAGGGATGACCAGAGACTGCGGAGACAGTGCAGGGGATGACCAGAGACTGCGGACACAGTGCAGGGGATGACCAGAGGCTGCGGACAGTGCAGGGGATGACCAGAGACTGCGGACAGTGCAGGGAATGACCAGAGACTGCGGACAGTGCAGGGAATGACCAGAGACTGCGGACAGTGCAGGGAATGACCAAAGACTGCGGACAGTGCAGGGAATGACCAGAGACTGCGGACAGTGCAGGGAATGACCAAAGACTGCGGACAGTGAGTGGGAATGACCAGAGACTGCTGACCTTTGGGGAGGGAGGGGGAGCGGGTACCTGAATTTGACAGGTACCTGCTCCCACTTCCGCGGAGTTGTCCTTCCCTCTTCTTTCCGGGCCGGCTTCTGTGACAGCCGGGTGCCCACTGCGCATGTGCGAGAAGCGCTGCTCTTTGTGAATGGCCCGGCGCCTTCTGGGACCTTTCATGTGTCCCAGAAGACACCGGATCATTCACAAAGCGCAGCACATGCGCAGTGGGCACCCAGCTGTCACAGAAGCCAGCGCGGGAAGACTGTGCAGCGCTGGAGCGAGGAACAGGTAAGGCCCTGCAGGAGACAACAGCTGAGCGGCCGGCCCGGTATTCTGACATGGTGGCCGCAAAAATACCGGACCGGCCGCTTTATATTCGCTCCATAAGACGCACTGACATTTTCCCCCCTTTTTTGGGGGAAAAAAAGTGCGTCTTATGGAGCGAAAAATACGGTACTTCCACAATCGGTGGTGTCAGTGGGAAGTATTGATAGTTTAAAAAAAAATACTCTTGGATGGGCATCTTAGCGAACACACTATACAGGGATATGGGATATGATTTTGAGCATGAACACACACAAAGGCTGAACTGGTTGGACTGGGGCCTTTATTCAACCTTTCCAACTATATAACTAACAACGCTTTTTGTAAGATCCTATGAAATATCTTTAGATGAAGGTATATTTTACTTCAACTCAGTTCAGTTGTGACAGGAAGGCAGCAAAATTGCTTTCTTTTTTTTCATACATCAGAAAAGGTCACATCATATCCTATTACAACACTTGGTTCACTGATTGCCACACCTGATCCCAATGACTCTAGTTGACTTTCAATGTTCAACTTAGGCTACGTTCACACTAGCGTTGTGTGCAGGCGGCGGAGAGGCATTTGGGAAGCGTTTTTACCGCTTCCCAAACGCCTCTGGCAATTCTGCACATTGCAGCACATGGGGCTGCTCTAACGGGAGCGGTAGCGTCGCGTCACGGTGCGGCAAAACAGACGCCTCTGGACGAGTCAGGAGGCGTTAAAGCCTCCTATTCTTGTCTATGGTGCCGCAGTTGCGACGAGGTTGCGGGACGTTTGCAGAGCGGTAACACCATTTAAACTTCATTATCGGAATTTGTGGGGCATTTTTAACACTCTGCAAACGCCTAGCAACCGCCGCTAAACCGCGCATGCGGTGTTTGCGGAGCGTTTGCCGAGCGTTAAAAAACGCTCCACAAACGCCGGACCAACGCTTGCCAAATGCTATAGGGGCGTTTGTCAAGCGTTGGCAAAACAGTGAAGTGTGAACGAGCCCTAAGATATAGGAATCTGTAATGACATGCATTTTTTGTTAAACAAGACTGTCTTTTTGTATTAGAAATATATTTATGATATCTGAAGCCCTTTTTTGCAATTGCATGCATCTAGAGATATTGCTTTCAGAAAAAAAAGTATATACCGTATTTTTCGCCATGTAAGACGCTCCGGCATATAAGACGCACCCAATTTTAAAGGAGGAAAATCTAGAAAAAAAAGATTCTGAACCCAATACATATAGTAATTCACCCCCCCTATAGTAATTCATCCCCCCTATAGTAATTAATCCCCCATATAGTAATTCATCCCCCATAGTAATTCATCCCCCATAGTAATTCATCCCCCATATAGTAATTCATCCCCCATATAGTAATTCATCCCCCATAGTAATTCATCCCCCATAGTAATTCATCCCCCGTATAGTAATTCATCCCCCCTATAGTAATTAATCCCCCATATAGTAATTCACCCCCCCTATAGTAATTAATCCCCCATATATAGTAATTCATCCCCCATAGTAATTCATCCCCCCATATAGTAATTCATCCCCCATAGTAATTCATCCCCCCTATAGTAATTCATCCCCCCATAGTAATTCATCCCCCCCCTATAGTAATTCATTCCCCCTATAGTAATTCATTCCCCATATTTTGTCAATTCACTTACCTTTGCTCCGCGCGTTCCTCTCGCCGTGTTCCCGCGCCGTTCCGGTCTTCAGGGCTGATCCACGAGCAGAGGGGGTGATGACGTCAGCGCGCACCGCCGGGTGTACTAAGATGGCCGACCGCTCCAGAGATAGGCCAAAGCCGCGGCCTTTCCTACGGCCGTGGCCGCGCCTGATGGATTCTCTCTCTATTCGTCGTATAAGACGCACCAACTTTTCCCCCCCAGTTTTGGGGAAGAAAAAGTGCGTCTTATACGGCGAAAAATACGGTACATGACCAGCTCTATAATAATTCCTATAATACAACAGGACTCAATTTCTATCAGCTATAATGCAAAGCAACCAATAGGAAAGCAATGTATTGCTGCTCTGACTGCACTTAAAGAGGTCCTGAACTGTGGAAGTGATGGCCAAAAAAGCAGGTTTCTATACTGTTTCTATACATAAACAGCCATCTTGCGAAAGGAGCATATCATTGCTTCCTGATGTCAGACTTGTCTTCTGATAAATTTTAGGCTCATGGCTGGTGGGGCAGCAGGTAGATGTAAAGGAAACACAGATCCACATAATAATCAGAAGTATGGTGATTCATCATTTGTTATATCTTAATGCTGTTGGAGCCCTGCAGACTCTTTGCAGCCACCACTTGTGCACTCTAGCGTAGGGAAGACCTTTGGGATTGGGTCAACCATGAGTTTGAGCTAAGTATCTACCCAGCTTTCCCTGGACATTAGCCAGCACAATTTCAGTTCAGTTTTCAGTTCAAGGTGCTCTTTCCAGACAGATATTTTCTTTCACTCTTGACAGACCCTCTGGCAGGGAGACTGAAATTCAGCAGAGCATTGCATCTGGGGCAGAGCCGAGAAGAGAAAAGGACACTATGGAAGGTTTCTGCCAACATTTACCACTTTCCCTCGGCTCCCACCTCCGAAGTCCCCAGTAGCTTGCTGGAGCAGACAAATATTCATAACTCAGTTATTGCTTCCACAACAGTAGCATACAGAAGCATTCAATATCCTGAGCTTAGGAAAGCACACAGAGCTCAGAAAAAGTAAACAAATGCTTAGACTGGCTACAGCCCAGCTGGAAAAACAAACGCAGAACACTAGCTAGGGACACTATAGCTTCTGTACAGGTTTATCCAAGACTCATAAGCAGCCAGGGACTGAAATAAGCCCACCAGCTGCACCTATGACTAAATGTCACATTTGGCTGAAAATTCTAAAATTCTTACAACTGGCATCAAATTAAAGTGTGCCAGAAAGTAGATTTGTCTTGACCTTCTTTTAATTGTTTTTAGCATGGGCATTTTTTTTTTTGTAACATGAAATCAAAAGTAATAATAATAGTAAACTTTATTTTATATAGCACCATTAAAGTAGTTGTAAACCTCAGACATGAAATATGAACAAAGCATATTCTTCTAT